GGTGGCTACACCATTAAAACAACAGATTTTCATTGTAAATGAAGCAGCCTTGTATGGAAGAAGATACCATCTAGGACTTTCATAGCTAGAGAGGAGAAGTTAATGCCTGACTTCAAAACTTCAAAGGACATGCTAACTCTCTTGTTAGGGGTGAATGCAGCTGGTGAGTTTAAGTTGAAGCCAATGATTGTTTACCATTCCAAAAATCTTAGGACCTTAGTAATTATGTTAAATCTACTCTGCCTGTGCTCTGTAAATGAAACAATAAATCTTGACTAACAGAGCATATGTTTATAACATGTTTACTAAATATTTTAAGCCCAGAGTTGAGACCTACTGCTCAGAATTAAAGATTTCTTCCAAAATATTCCTGTTCACTGACAATGTACCTGGTCTCCCAAAAGCCCTAATAGAGGTAGAGATCAGTGAGGTGAATGTTGTTTTCATGCCTGCTACCATGGTATCTCTTCTGCAGCCTATGGGTCAAGGAATGATTTAGACTCGTAAGTGTTCTTATGTAAGAATTACATTCTGTAAGGCTAATGTTGCTGTAGATAGTGATTCCTCTTATGGATCTGGGTAAAGTCAATTGAAAACTTTCAGGAAAGGATTCACCATTCTAGGTCCCATTAACCATATTTGTGATTCATGGGAAGAAGTCAAAATAGTGACATAAATGGATTTAGAAGAAGTTTATTCAAACCCTCATGCAAGACGTTAGAAATCCAAGACTTCAGAGGAGGAAGAATTGCAGATGTGGTGGAAACAGCAAGAGAACTAGAATTAGAAGTGGAGCCTGAAGATGTGACTGAATTGCTGTGATCTCAGAATAAAACTTGAACAGATGAAGAGTTGCTCATTAGGATATGCAAAGAAAGTGGGTTTTTTTTATTTAAATAAATCCAAATTTTATTTGAGAGAGAGAGAGAGAGAAAGAGAGAGCAAGCAAGCAGGGTAGAGGGGCAGAGGGAAAGAGAGAGAGAATACCAAGCAGGCTCTGCTCTGTCAGTGCAGAGCCCAATATGGGACTTAGTCCCATGGCTCTGGGATCATGACCTGAGTGGAAGTCAAGAGTCAGATACTCTATCAGCTAAGCTACCTGGTGCCCCAGAAAGTGGTTCCTTGAAGTAGAATCTACTTCTATTGGAGATATTGTGAAGATTGTTGAAATGACATCAAATAATTTAGAATATTAAATGAACCTAATTGATAAAGCAGCAGCCGAGTTTGAGAAAACTGACTCCAATTTTGAAAGAAGTTCTCCTATGGGTAAAATGCTATTTAACAGCATCACATGCTATAGAGAAATCATTCATGGAAAGAAAAGTCAATCGGTGTGAAAAACTTTATCATTGTCTTGTTTTAAGAAATTGCCTTAGCCACTTCAGCCTTAAGCAAAGTGAGAGAGAGAGAGATTGAGAGAGAGAGAGAGAGAGAGAGAGAAGAAACTAACAAGTGAGCATGGCTTGCAGGCTCCATGCTCAGTAACGAATCCAAAGTGGGGTTCAATCTCACAATGAGTTCATGACCTGAGCTGAAATCAAGATTCAGACACTTAACCAACTAAGCCAACCAGACTCACAGCAATAATATATATATATATTTATATATATATTTTATAATATATATATATATATATATATAAAGGTATGCACATTGTTTTCTTAGACATAACATTATGGCACACTTGGTATAGTGTAATTATAATTTTTATATGCACTTGGAAACCAACAAATTCATTTGACTCATTTTATTGCAATATTCCCATGTTGATATTCACTATTGTGCAGTGGTCTTGATTGAACCTGCTAATATCTCCAAAATATGTAGGCAGGCTCTGAATGGCTGAAAATATACTCTTTGGGGGCCAATATTTAAAACACTGGGATATCTAAGGATTTTGAGTTTTATGCCAGAAGGCTTTTGAGCTAATGGTCCTACCCTGATATAAGAACAATACAGGGGCCAATATACAAAAAGTCATTTATGTAACTATGCCAAACATACTTTAGTATTTCTAGAATCCCTCCTTTTATATAGTGAAGAAGAATATCTTTGGTGTGGTCTTTCAGCCATCTGAGACACCCAGAAGATAACTTAAAATATAATAGTTTATTTTTATGTTTGGAGTTTGAACTTGGAGAAAACAATATTGCAAAGAATTGTTAGAGGAGCCAAAATATGAGCAAAAGTCATTGGTTCCTTTAGAGTAAAAAAAAAAAAAATAACACAGCTACAGCAACATTAAATAATAGAAATACCAGATTTTGCAAGAAGTAGTTCACAGAGAAAAAAAAGATAATTACAATAGAGTATTTTTGTGATATAAGTAACTTTTGTTTTCTAGGCAATCTATGTTGATGGCATTAAATGGTTTTTCCTTTGTTAAATTAAGAAAAGTCCAGACTGGATTCAAAACTCTGTCAATGCAACAGAAAGTAAATCAAATTCTAATCTTATTCTTTTTGTATACCACTTAAATAACATTTTATAGTCAAGGATTTGATTATAATTTCATTTCTCTATTTTATGATTAAGCTCATCAAAATTGACTTAGTAAAATTTTGCTGTATTTTATAGCTTTTCAAATTCATTATTTTTACTATAATTCATTTTACATCAAACCTCCTATAAATTATTCTTCAGCTTCAGATTTCCCTTTCTATGATTTTTAGCATTCCAGTCATTTAAAGATGTACTACTGATCAAAGTCCATATGTCTAAGGCCTAAGATAAAACTTTTTCTTTTTAAGTTGATAAAAACAGACAAAGCACATCCATCATTTTATAAACATGTTTGCATTTCTTCATAACTCTTTTATTTAATATAGTTCTAGTCACTCATTTTAACTATAGCTTTTAACCAAAATAACTAATTTCAATTTCAAATCTCTCTTTCTCTCTTAGACACACACACACACACACACACACACTTCTCAGTAGGTGACTAAGAACTCTGTGACATTAAAGACAACTTTAGAGACCAGCAGAGTGCTTATACTTCAAGAATACACATCACACATCATTTTACAATCATACATACCCCTGTAAGATTTATTTATGTCTTCTTGATAGAACATGGAATTTAGGGTATACACTTGGCTCACTTGGGTATTTCTGTGACACCTCTTTATTTCTTCTGACAGAAAGGAGAAAAGTTAGGAACTCAGAATTCTTTAGATTTCACAGTAGATCTTAAAACTCTGGATAAGCCAGAAGTAATCATTAACATTTCATATACATCACCAGGTTTTTCCATACATTGAGGCGCATTCATCAAAATTGTTATATTAACCAAGCAAAAATCCTCTTAGAAGGTAGAGCTCTCTTTTCCAAGATATTCAATGTTAATTTAAACCAAAAAACTTGAAAGATATACTTCCTTTTCGTTGCCTTTTTGTGTAGTTTTGTCTAAAAAAGATATTTCTTTAGAACACAAAATGATTTAGTTTTGACTCATTAATCTAAAAAAAGCTTTCTCAAGAGAGAGAATGAGAGAAAGAACCAGCCATAGATACAAAAGAGCTCCAGTTACAAGAACAGTGTACAAAGCTAACTTCTTTCCTTTTGCAAGGAGAGTAAAGACTTTTTTCCATTTATACACACAAGCACAAAGAGAATGAACAGCCTTAGCATAGGGAAAGCATAAATATGGAACACAATTTTCTGTGTCTGAGCAAATTTCACTTGTCAGTTGTGGCTTCTTGGGAATAGAAATGTCATGGATTCAAAGAAGATCTCTAAGGGATACTTGTTATGAAGCTCTCTTGATAGGGAGCTGATCTCCATTCTAGTTGGCACAAAATTATGTCCTAAATGTTTTTAGCTATACTTGTGTTCAAACTGCATGTAATACAAGGCATATCATAAACTTTAAGACTAACAGAAAAAAAGAAATGAAAAAGACTGAGCTGTCATCTACCATCTACCACCCAACAGAGACTAGATGACTGCATGAAATAATCAAAATCAGACTCCCAGCATTTCATCTACCAAGGGAAGAACAATAATGTCCATTGTACAAAACAGAACAGGACTCCTCATGACTCAGCATAATGCAGACATCAAAATAAACTCAGAGGAATGAAAATGCAGAAACAGAGTCATGATATTCACTTTAGGAATCAAGAAAGTTGGGTCTAGGATCCAGAGATCTCTATCCAGTACACTTTTTATGGAAAGACTCAGTTCTATCTGGGGTGTGAATCAATCTGGGCAACTCATTGGAATTTAAGCTGTGAAACATGCAGAAACCAAAGCAATGAAGAAGAAAAAAAAAGATTTTTATATGCTAAAAATTACAGGGAAACTATTCTTTGAACTTTGGAAGACTTTGAAAAAAATCTGCCATATAAAGAATACAACATATATAAATGAAAAAAGCAGACACGAGATTACCAAGATTACAGTGTGTCCATGGTAGAAAGCCTGCAGTTTTCTCAAAAATGTTCATCACTGCAAGGGCCATCCACATCAGTATGTCAGGGCTTGTAATGGTTTCCATTATGGTCACTTGCTTCTGTGATCCCATAGTCCATAACCTTACCAGTACACTAGCATGCCTTTTGATAGAGAGTATTTGGAAAATAAAATCACTTTTCAGGTGGTGCTTCATAAGCAGAGTATCAGCATCATATAATTTTGAAGTAGTCTTTATTTTCAATAACTATATGACTAACTCTGTCATATGAAAATATTTTGTTCCTTAAATGTTAGAACTCTCTTTGCAATAATTATGGATAAGGTTTGACAAATGTTCTTTCTTTTGGATTTTCTTTCTTTAGAAGGTCAAGTTTATACATGTTACATTGATTCTGGCATATTCAAACTTATTTGGACAGCCCTATTGACATGTCCAGGTGATGTACATGAAGTCTATGTATATATAATAATACATTTCCTATTTTAATATATTTATCACTGAAATGAATTTAAGACTTTTCAGAAGTGATTATTTTTCTTATTAACTACACTAAGAAAGTTTTATATTTTATTTTTAGGCTAAAATATATTCAAACTAAAAGTGGCAAACTTGACAATAAAGTTAAAAGAATTGGACCACACATAGAAATCTTCCAAGTGTTCCGGGAAAAAACCAAATTGATAAATACCAAAAAAATAGTGAAAATGATCACCATCATGCAGGCCTATGTCAGAGGGTGGCTTGAACGCAGAAGATACCAGAGAATAATGACCAAGGTAAAGCCTATGTTAAATATATTGTGTGTAAATTTTCTTGTGTAGATTTTGAATAGTCACCTGGTCAATATATCTATGATTTTTCTAAATAACATTCTGACTACATTCTTTGCATGAAAAAATGGTATGAATAATCTATTCTGCCCATGGTTTCAGATTTTGTCAAACTGGAGAATCTAAACAAAAGGTCTAGTTTATCCTTAACCCAGTAGTTTTGGGACCATATTTATTCTAAAGCCATATCTTTGTCCTAATTTTGTTTCTCCTTTTTGCTGTTTATTCTCTGTATAAAGCAACTTTCTTCCATTTCCCACACCACTTGGTACTGTTGTATTGCATATACATTCAACTCAAAACAAATTATACACACAACACAAACATAAACACACACCTCTGAGAAACTTCTATAAGCAGCAGTCTCGACTTTTAAAATAAATATTTAGGACCTATTTTATCTGAGAGAATGCAGAAGAACCGGTTGCATGGATCTTGGCAGACTTTTGAGAGGATCTGAAAATATCCTCACCTTGAGGGCTAAAGTTTTACCACTCACAAGGAATTTGGGAAGCCAACTACAAATAGAAGAATAGATTAGGAGTGCTCTCTTGAATTCCTGGCACTTCTGGGAGGAGCCCTCTTGAATGGCCTTGTAGTGGGCACTCCAAATCCATTTCTGTGAGAATTCAGTGATGCTATTACAAGGCAATTCCTCTGGGGCGCCGTCGGCTCAGGTCATGATCTCACAGTTCGTGGGTTCCAGCCCCACGTCGGGCTCTGTGCTGACAGCTAGCTCAGAGCCTGGAGCCTGTCTTTGGATTCTGTATCTCCCTCTTCCTCTGACCCTCCCCTGCTCATGCTGTCTCTCTCTGACTCTCAAAAATAAATAAAAAACATTTTAAAAAATTGAAAGAAAGGCAATTCATCTGCCTATTTCTGTATAGTTCTGTATATTTATATACATATTAATATGTACCCATAATACCTATATGTAGTTATGATGATTAAATGTGATAATGCATATAAAAATTTAACAAAAAAGTAAACATTCCATATAATTAGTCTTTCAGTAATTCTGTGAGGTAGCAGTTTTATCCATTCTATAAGTGTAGAAACTGAAGATCAGAGGAATAAAGTCATTTGCTCAACATCACACTGCTGGTAAGTGACAGAAGTAGAACTCAAACTCATGTTTGTCTGACTCCAGAGCCAATCTTATTCTACATATCATATCATCTACTTGAACTCATTATGGCTGATTCATCCCTAATCTAATCTCAAGCCATAGCAAGACCTATCTCTCTAACTCAGACTTCAGGGACTAAAGTACCCACTTGGAAGATCCATAATTAAATCAAAGTTTATATAGCCCTAAATGAATTCATTTTCATACTTCACAAAGCTCTTCCTTTCCTTTATTTTTTAAATTTTATTGAGGAATAATTGACATATAACATTATATTACTTTCAGGTGCACAGAATAATGATTTGATGTTTGCATATGTTGCAGAATGATGACCACAATCAGTCTAGTTACCATTCATCACCATACGAAGTTAACTTTCAGGATTTATTCTCTTGGCAGCTTTCAAGTGTGCTTTATGATATTATTAACCCTGTGCTATTGTAGGCACCATGTCTTATTTATTTTATAACTTGAAGTGTTTACCTCACTCCCTTTACCCGTTTCATCTACTCCTTAGTTCTCCTCTGGCAACCACTTCTCTTCTCTGAAGAAGTGGTTTTGTTTTTGTTTCATTTGTTCATTTGTTCATTTGTTTTTTAGATTTCACATGTAGGTGAAACCATATGGTATTATCTTTCCCTGACTTACTTCACTTAGTGTAATTCCCTCAAGATCCATCCATGTTATCACGAACAGCAAAATTTCATTCTTTTAATTTAATTGAAGAATTTTTAATTTTATTCTTCAATTTAATTGAAGAATAATTGACATACAATGTTGTATTAATTTCTGTTGTACACATAGTGATGCAATATTTATATACATCATGAAAAGTTCACCACAATAAGTGTTATCATCAGTCCCCATACAAATTGTTACAATATCATTGACTATGTTCCCTATGCTGTACATTTCATCTCTGTGTCTTATTTATTTTATAACTAGAAGACTGTACCTCTTAATCCCCTTCACCTATTTTGTCCATCTCCCTGCACTCCTCTTCTTTGGCAACCATTAATTTATTCTTTGTATCTGTGAGTCAGTTTATGCCTTGTTTTGTTTTTCATTTGTTTTGCAGTAGATTCCACATATAAGTAAAATCATACGCTATTTGCCTTTCTCTGCCTGACTTATTTCACATAGCATAATATCTGCTACGTCCATCCATGTTTTTGAAAATGGCAAGATTGCATTCTTTTTCATAGCTAAATAATAATCCATTGTGTGCGTGTGTGTGTGTGTGTGTGCGCGCACATATACATATACATCTAGATAGATGGACATTTAGGTTGCTTACATATCTTGGCTATTGTAAATAAGCTGCATTGAACAGAGAAGTGCATACAACTTTGAATTAGTGTTTTAATTTTCTTTGAAAAATACCAAGAGTAGAATTGCTGGATTGTATAGTAGTTCCATTTTTAATTTTTTGAGGAATTATTTTCTGTAGCAATTATACTAGTTTACATTCCTCCTAATAATACACAAGGGTTGCCTTTTCTCCACATCCTCACCGATACTTACTATTCCTTATCTTTTTGATACTAGCCATTCTGACAGGTGTGAGGTGATATGTCATTGTGCTTTTAATTTGTATTTCTCTGATGATAAGTGCTGTTGAGAATCCTTTCATGTATCTATTGGCCATCTGTGTGTCTTCTTTGGGAAAACATATATCCAGATACTCTGCCCATACTTTAATTGGACTTTTTTTTATATTGAGTTGTATGAGTTCTTTATATATTTTTTGATGTTAACCTCTTCTCTGATATGTCATTTGCAAATAATCTCTCCCTTTCTTAGGCTGTTTTTTCATTTTGTTGATCATTTCCTTTGCTGATTCATTAGGCTGTTTTTTCATGTTGTTGATGATTTCCTGTGCTGTGCAAAAGTGTTTTTTAGTTTGAGGTAGACCCATTTGTTTATTTTTGCTTTTGTTGTTACTGCCTGAGGAGACAGATCTAAAAATATATTGCTAAAACCAATGTTCAAGAGCTTACTACCTGTATTTTCATGTAGCAATTCTAAGTTTTCAGGTTTCACTTAAGTCAATAATACATTTTGAATATATTTTTGTTTATGGTATAAAAAAGTGACCAGTTTTGTTCTTTTGCATGTAGCTGTTCAGTGTTAACAACATTATTTATTGAAGAGACTGTCTTTTCATTGTATATTCTTATCCATTATCATAGATTACTTAGCCATATAAGTGGGTTTACTTCTGGGCTGTCTATTCTATTTTTTTGATCTGTGTGTCTGTTTTGATCAGTGTAGCTTTGTAGCATACTTTGAAATACTGGAGCATGATACCTCCAACTTTGCTTTTCAAAAACAGGATTGTTTTGGTTATACAGAGTTGTTTGGGCTCCATAGAAATTTTAGGATTATATGTTCTAGTTCTGTGAAAAATGCTACAGGTATTTTGATAGGGATTATAATGAATTTGTAGATTACTTTGGGTAGAATGGATCTTAACAATAGTAATTCTTATAATCCATAAGCATAGTATATCCTTGCATTTATTTGTGTCATCTTCAATTTCTTTCATCAGTGTCTTCTAGTTTTCAAAGTATAGCTATTTCAGTTCCTTGATTAAATTTATTTCTATGGGAAATCTGGAAGAAATGGATAAATTCCTAGGAACATAAAAAACCTAAACTGAAACAGGAAGAAATAGAAAATTTGAAGAGAACTATAACCAGTAAAGAAATTGAATCAGTAATCAAATATCTCCCCACAGATAAGAGTCCAGGGCTGGATGATTTCCTGGAGGAATTCCCAAATATTTAAGGAAGAGCTAATAGCTATTCTTTTGAAACTGTACCAAAAAATAGAAATGGAAGGAAAACTTCCAAACTCATTCTATGAGGCCAGCATTACCTTGATTCCAAAACCAGGAAGACCCCACTAAAAAGGAGAATTACAGATCAGTATCCCTGATGAACATGGATGCAAAAATTCTCAATAAGATACTAGCAAACTGAATCCAACGGTATGTTCAAAGAAGTATTCATCATGATCAAGTGGGATTTATTCTTGGGATGCAGTGGTGGTTAAATATACACAAATTAATCAACGTGATACTCCATATTAAGAAAAGAAAGGATATGAACCATAAGATCCTCTCAATATATGGAGAAAAAGCATTTGACAAAATACAGCATCCTTTCTTGATAAAAACCTTTAAGAAAGTAGAGATATAAGGAACATACCTCAACATCATAAAGGCCATACATGAAAGAACCCCAGCTAATATCATTCTTAAAAGCTCTAGCTTTTCCCCAAAGGTCAGGAACACAACAGGGATGTCAACTTTCACCACTGTTGTTTAACATAGCACTTGAAGTCCTAGCCTCAGCAATCAGACAACAAAAAGAAATAAAAGGAATCCAAGTTTTCTAGGAAGAAGTCCAACTTTCACTGTTTGCAGATGACATGATATATGTGGAAAACACAAAAAACTCCACCAAAAAATTGCTAGAACGGATACATGAATTCAGTCAAGTCACAGGATGTAAAATTAATATACAGAAATCAGTTGCATTTCTATATACCAATAATGAAGCAGCAGAAAGAAAAATCAAAGAATTGATCCCATTTACAAGTGTATCGGAAACCATAAGAATAAACCTAGGAATAAACCTAACCAAAGAGGTAAAGAATCTGTATTCTGAAAACACTTATGAAAGAAGACATAAAGAAATAGTAAAACATTCCATGCTCACGGATTGGAAGAACAAATACTATTAAAATTTCTATACTACCCAAAGCAGTCTACAAATTCAGTGCAATCGCTATCAAAATAACACCAGCATTT